CGGAATGTCACAGCCGGAAACACCGGAATGAGCGACGGACATTTTGCCCATTTTGGTGACGGAACCCGGGTCTCAGCGTAACGCGCCGATGCTTTAACCACAAGGCTCCCCCATCTCATAATACATGATTGTTTGCCTAATTTGCATACTTATATTAACTTATATAACATTTTTCTACTGTATGACCTGCAAAATGATCTCAATGCAAAAGCAAGTGATATAAGGTAAACATACTGACAGGTGAAGCTGTTACTTCTCTTGAAAACTACATCAATGTTGGTTTGTTTCTTTGAGTCCCTGGATTTTGTGGCTTACAGTTCCAAAGCAGGGGCTGAAAACTTGTTTCAGTGGTTTAGTTCACTGGTGAGATGTTGCTTGGTAGAACAGATGTTGTAGATGTTGTAGAACTAAACCATCTCAAACAAGTTTTCACACTGTACAGCCACTACCCCGAACAGCTGGTGCAACAGGCAATACAGAGCATCACCAAGCAAACTCAGAATTCTCCCCGTCATCAATCGTGATCAGCCTCCCCTACTTTCAAATTGTTAGCCAGAGACTCTAAAAGAAACAGGCCAACATTGATGAAGTTTTAAAGAGGTTTCTGCATTTAACTATGATGCTCGTCATTTTAGAAAATTCAGCATTCAGAACACCATTAAAGCCACAGACAATATCGTCATATCTCGTTTCAATATCGCAGTATCGCAATTTCGTGTCGTGCTATTGCAATGTCGCGTCGTGTTATCCCCATGTCGATGCGTGTTATCGGAATGTCGCGTCGTGTTATCGCCATGTCGTGTCGTGCTATTGCAATGTCGCGTCGTGTTATTACCATGTCGTGTCGTGCTATTGGAAGGTCGCGTCGTGTTATCCCCATGTCGTTGCGTGTTATCGGAAGGTCGTGTCGTGTTATCCCCATGTCGTTGCGTGTTATCGGAAGGTCGTGTCGTGTTATCGCCATGTTTTGTCGTGCTATTGGAATGTCGCGTCGTGTAATCGCCGTGTCGTATCGTGCTATTGGAAGGTCGCGTCGTGCTATCGCTATGTCGTTGCGTGTAATCGGAATGTCGCGTCGTCTTATCGCCATGTCGTTGCGTGTTATCGGAATGTCGCGTCGTGTTATCGCCATGTCGTGTCGTGCTATCGGAATGTCGCGTCGTGCTATCGCCATGTCGTTGCGTGTTATCAGAATGTCGCATCCTGTTATCGCCATGTCGTGTCGTGCTATCGGAATGTCGCGTCGTGCTATCGCCATGTCGTATCGTGCTATTGGAAGGTCGCGTCGTGCTATCGCCATGTCGTTGCGTGTAATCGGAATGTCGCGTTGTGTTTTCGCCATGTCGTTGCGTGTTATCGGAATGTCGCGTCGTGTTATCGCCATGTCTTGTCGTGCTATCGGAATGTCGCGTCGTGCTATCGCCATGTCGTTGCGTGTTATCGGAATGTCGCATCCTGTTATCGCCATGTCGTGTCGTGCTATCGGAATGTCGCGTCGTGCTATCGCCATGTCGTATCGTGCTATTGGAAGGTCGCGTCGTGCTATCGCCATGTCGTTGCGTGTAATCGGAATGTCGCGTTGTGTTATCGCCATGTCGTTGCGTGTTATCGGAAGGTCGCGTCGTGTTATCGCCATGTCTTGTCGTGCTATTGGAATGTCGCGTCGTGTTATCGCCATGTCGTTGCGAGGTTATGGGAATGTCGCGTCGTGTTATCGCCATGTCGTTGCGTGTTATGGGAATGTCGCGTCGTGTTATCGCCATGTCGTGTCGTGCTATCGGAAGGTCGCGTCGTGCTATCGCCATGTCGTTGCGTGTTATGGGAATGTCGCGTCGTATTATCGCAATGTCTTGTCGTGCTATCGGAATGTCGCGTCGTGCTATCGGAATGTCGCGTCGTGCTATCGCCATGTCGTTGCGTGTTATCATTTGGATATATCCTTAAAGTGTAATGAATAGCCTTGTTAGGATAGTAGTGAGTGAGTACGGTTTTACGCCGTTTTTAGCAACATTCCAGCAATATCACGGCGGGGGACACCAGAAATGGGCTTCACACATTGTACCCATGTCGGGAATCGAACCCGGTTCTTCGGCGTGACGAGCGAACGCTTTAACCACTAGGCTACCCGACCGCCCCTGTTAGGATAGTAAACGAAACTCGATTGGTCCGCAGTCCCTTAGAGTTTATAGTTGGTTGTAGTTGCAACAGTGAATGTTTTATAGCATACACAACGAGACAGCTAGGTACGTAATGAATGTAATTTGGCTTAAGGGACCATATATTATATATTTTGCAGTTCCAGCCTCTGACCCAATCTCATCGTAAATACCCTTGGCGGTTGGTAATTTAGTTGTTGCATACAATAACTATTTAAAGCTTGCATTAATATCGAGGCAGCGAGAATATCTCTGAGCCATTACCCACAACTTGGAACCTGTGACGTATTCAAACTGTATGCATAGTCCTTTTTTTAAACTGATGCATAATTATGACCGCATGAAAAAGGACAAAAACTGTGAATGTAACAATGAGCATGAACTGCAATGCGTCAATATAACATCCATATTAAAGAGTGAATACATTTCGTCATACAATAAAACACTCGAAAACGTTAATGTTAAAGAATATATAAATTACAAACTTCACATTTTTAAAAGTTATCCCATATATGATATACAACTGACAAATGTATCAGAGAAGGTAATTTTTAATCATTAATGTCCAAAGAAGGATTTGGGAAGACGACGCCATTGTTGCTGCAAAATGGTGCCAAGATCTTGCAAATTCTGTGGATGGTTCTGGAGAGTGCGCAGACTTCTGCCAAGAGCATCCCAGACGTGTTCGATGGGATTGAGGTCGGGAGACCTTGACGGCCAGTCCATGACGTTGACTCCTGCATTCTGAAGGAAATTCCTTGTCAAAATTGCTGTGTGGGGTCTGGCATTGTCGTGTTGGAAGATCAAACCGGGTCCATGTGCTGCCATAAAAAAGGCAGACGTTCTGGTGCCAGTACCTGGTCGCGGTAAGCAGCAGCGTTGAGGTTGCCACGGATGACAAGAAGCCTGGAACGTGCATTGCCACAGAAAGCACCCCACACCATGACACTTCCGCCTCGAAATCTGTCAACTTCCTGTACACAACACTAGGCGTAACGTTCATGACGGTGCCTCCACACCCTCGCCCTACCATCAGCAAATCGAAGATTAAATCGGGATTCATCACTGAAGACGACTTGATTCCAATTCCCCTGAGTCCATCGTAAGTGTCGCTGTGCCCACAATTGACGTTGACGTCTGTGTAATTGAGTCAGAATCGGCCCGCAGTATGGCCGTCGTGCTTGAAGGTGAGCAGTTCTCAGACGGTTTCGGACAGTTTGCGCACTCATTCTACCCCTAAATGGTTCATTTCTGGTTGATGTAGCCGTCAAAAATTGGTTACGGAGGTGACGTAAGACAATCTAACGATCCTCTGCATGTGACGTCACACGTGGTCGACCTGGCCGAGGGCGATCAGCGGTGGTACCCGTTTGCTGTAGACGCGTCTGTAAATCATAAACAGTCCGTCGACTACAACCCATCGTCCTTGCGACTTCAGCTACGGACGTTCCCGTCTGCAACATGCCGATGGCACGTTCAAGTTGCACATTTGAAAGGCGTGGCATGACAAATGGCCGTAAAGACTTTTGTTTTCTTGTGTTTTTCTTTTTTTTGTTAAAGAATGCTAACATGTATGGCTGAAAACACGTGCGGTATTATGGCCACGTGATCAGTTGCACGTGAAAAACCACTTTTGCCACTATAGTGCTGAGCACATGATTTTGATCGATTCACCTACACAAAAACGCGTGTGATCTGAAGACAATACGTGGCCATTACTGTTTAAATACACATTAAGGGCCCACAATGATAACTGGTCAAACTGTTAAAATTTTAGGATTGTGCAGTTTTTACTTTGGTTCAGTAAATTATTGTATGAATAGTCTCGATATTTTGGTATAATTAAGTCTTAAACGAAACCATGTTTTTTAAATGATTTAATATAGAAGGTGTAACACCATATTAAAACATGCTTTAATTATTCTCATTCCTTGAAACTACCACATCATTAAATGCAAAATTTGAAGATTATTGTGGTAAAATGTTCATTTCAAATTGATGAGTAAATTTGGGAAAAGGGTAAAATATGAAAACTTTTAAAATTATGGTCTTTGTTTTGCAAGATGTTCTTTTTAATAGGTTAATCGTTTCACTTAAAAAATATATCTGTTTTCGCAGGTGCAGCTGAAAGAAATATCTCGTCTTCATACACAATCCGAGACCTCCTCTCCCAGCCTCCAGAATATCAATGGTCGGTCCCTCGTAGTTCTAGTTTCATTTCTGCATACGATCTCTCCTGAAAACAAAATCAGTCAACATTTTATTGCATTGATTAGTTATGCATTGATACATATGTACGAACCGCATTCAGGTTTGACGTTTCTGTGCAACATTCCTGTATCTGATTTTGAAATAGCGTGAAATATATGTATGTGTCACCACTGACTGCATGTGGTTGACGGTGTATCAAGTTTCGCTGTTAAAATATCATTTGAATGATAATAGAGATATTTCACAGGTGCCTCCTGAGACACATCACCATCATTCATCATCACACGGCTGTTCTCAGACGTCGGTTTCGCGAGGACAGAATCCATGGCGAAGGTGTCTCTCGGACCCACTGACTATATCGTCGTATGTGGACTCTTATCTCTGTCTGTGGGGATAGGACTATATTACGCCATCAGGGGGAGGAGGAGGAACACCAGAGAGGAGTACCTGATGGGAGGACGGCGTCTCCACGTCATCCCGGTGACGTTGTCTCTGTATGTGACGTACATATCATCGACGGCCTTTATAGGGATGCCTGCAGAAACCTTCACTACTGGTTTTACATTTGCCCTGTTCGCTCTTGGCAGTATTGTTGCGATGTCCATCTCCATCTTCACAGTAGTACCGATGATGCATGCACTGCAGGTGACAAGTGTTTATGAGGTATGTCATGGATTTCATGGAAACAATGCGGTAAGCCACGATGGGCGATAGTGTTATCTATTGTTTCTTGTTTAAAGTTTAACTGCGTACTCAAAAATATGCCAGATGTATGCCAGCGGTCTGTAAAAAATCGAGTCTGGACCAGACAATCCAGTTATTGACATCGTGAACAACGATCTACGCAATTGGGATACAACGACCCGCATCAACTTAGTCGGCGAGCCTGACCACCCAATCCCGTTAGTCGCATTCTGACATTGGTTGCTGAAGACAAATTCTAATCCGGATCTATGTTACATCTCATGCACTTTCAATAATCTATACATGTTTTCACGAACACCTGGTGTCATAACTATTTTATAGTGATGCATTAACACGTGCTCATGATATAGTCGGAATCGAACAATCGACAATTAAGACTTCTTGTGAATATGGAACGTGATTTGTCGCAGTTAGTTCCTAAAGTGCACGTAAATAAAGCTGAGGAAATGCGTCTTCCATGTAAAGGGTATATTTGTCTCAGCCAGTTTTATAAGCAAGAGCCCTGTAAGATTGAGTGAGTGAGTGAGTATGGTTTTACGCCGCTTTTAGCAATATTCCAGCAATATCACGGCGGGGGACACCAGAAATGGGCTTCACAAAATGTACCCATATGGGAATACGAACCCGGGTCTTTGGCGCGACGAGCGAACGCTTTAACCACAAGGCTACCAAACCGCCCCAAGCCCTGTAAGATGTACGCTGTGGACATTGTACAATCATAGGTAACATTAATTTCATATTCAGACGTTGCTCAACGACTTTGCCAAAGGATTTTTTTTTCATACGTCTTGCCTGGGAGACAACCTATAACTTAAGAAATTAATAACTAATTGAAAATGAATGTCAGGTATATGAATTTGAGACAGAAAACTCAATTTGTAACTTATACTATTTGTCCTTTCAGTATTTCCATCTGCGATTCGGGTCGGTGGCATTCAGACGTTGTATCAGTGTTGTGGGAATGTTGCAGAACGTAAGTTACCGTGTGCGACGTAATAAGCGCCCGGGGCGTTCTCAAAATTAGAAATACGGGGCTATCATTAGAATATAATTTTGGTGAGTTGAAAGATCGTAAATTTCGTTGTTTATGCTGACAGCCTGAAATGATACAAAAGAAAATGATGTGCGTATCATACACGACAGATTCTTTTCCAGAATTTAATTGCCCATAATTAAGGATGCATATAACACACGAGTGCGTATCATACACGAATAAATAAGTCTTGTATACATTGATCAATCGGAAGGAGTGTTAATTGGGATTGTTCACCAGCTAATATATTAGTAAATATCTCAGTGGGCGCTTATTACGTCGAATACGGTATTGTTGTATTTATATAATTACGAACGAGGGAGGGATGGCTGAAGAGTTCTGAGTCTTACTGCGAAAGATGTATGTTAACTCTTAACTATTTACAATACTGTCAATGCTTATAGGCAGCATTTGAACCAAACAAACAATTGGGTAGCATATTTCTGCAGGCATCGAAGTGACTAGGTCTTCTCTGTTGATGAAAATAGACAAAACTGGCTACAGTGCTGTCATCAGTTATGATAATGGCGCTAAACTTAGAATACCGACACTTTCGTCGATGGCTAGGTAGTACAGACCTTTGGGATTAACTGAATTTAGATGCTGAGGTAGAGACAATCAACTCTAGTTGAATGTTATTCAATTTGGTGACACTGTGTTTAGAAATAAGAACAGCGTAACACTTCCAATGCAATGTATACGTTTTTGAAACCGCGACGTCATCACAGCGAAGCACTGAGCGGTGTGCAAAGCCAGCTGACGGCCAGGCGCCATGAGGGAGAAGCCAGGGTGTTGGTGATGCCTACTATTTGTACCAGAAAGTATACAAAAGCTATATCGACTGCCTCTTCCCAACTGTCACTTTGAATAAATTTCACACAGCTTTGGTAACATTCCAGCAGTATCACCGCGAGGTCACCGGGACTTGTCTTCACACATTATCCCTATATGGAGAATCGAACCCGGACCTTCGTCATGACGAGCAGTTTTCACCACTCCCTACCCCACCGGCACGATACGGTCAACCTTTACGCGAACATCCGTTATCCTCACTAATCGATAGTGATTAATAAACACATGGTAATGATATGGATGGAATCTTTCAATGAAATCCGCTTTCAGTAGATATTTGTGATAATCATGGACATGTGTTTTGTCGCTTTTATTTACCAAGTCGACCCCCAGACATATCACTATCTTGGTAGCATTACAAAAAAGAAACTGTGTGGGCCAAGACATTAAAACTGTCCCCAACTATGCGTCAGACGGGACTGCTGCAACATATGATTTAGATTTAGTCCTCGAGTGGTCCTTCGGGATATCTACCAATGTGCAACATGAAGGCAACCTCAAATTAAAAAAATGAAGATTCTTTTTCATCATTTCGTCATGTGGCACACACAGTTGCAAAACTGCGAACGAGACCTCCATCCATGTTGATTCATCACTGAATCATCAATTAATGGACCGCCTCCGTGGTCTAGTGGCAGAGCGTCCGCCTGCAGAGCGGAAGGTCCGGGATTCGATTCCCGGCCGCGTCATACGAAAAGACGTTAAAAGATGGTACTTTTTGTTACCCTGTCTGGCGCTCGGCATTTAGAGGCTGAAACAAGTACTGGTCGGCTCGGAGTCAGTAGGGGTATTCATGTTAAACTGCGGCTTGGTATCACAGTGAACTAGCACTTTAAATCGGCATCAGTACAAGCAGCCACACACACACACACACGTGCATGCACGTCGCTACATAAGTGCAATAATCTTGGACGCAACGTTAAACCCAATTTCACCTTACCTATAACAATTTACACTCTAACGACATGTATTAAAGGGTGCCTGCTCTATTATATATATCGGATACATATTCAAAGGAAAACCATTCTAAATTGAAAAAAGTAACTGCTTTGCCAAAGACAGGTAATAGCCATAGCATATGTTTCGACAGAAATAAAAGTACAAGGTAGATTTCAACTCACCTGCGATTAGTATACTGTCGAGTTGGGGTTGTTTTCGCGAGTGAAGAATATTGATGAAATTCATATTGTTTCGATTACTTCAATGTTGTTCTTTTCCAGATCTTTTTCATCGCTGTGGTTTTATTATCACCAGCAGTAGCGATAGAAACAGGTAAATATAACCATTCACGTTGTATTCCTTAAGAGAAAAGTTAATATAGTCTACCCATATTCATCTCCATGTATTTAGTGGGCACATGTTGCCTAATCGAATGAGTAGAGTTTAGTCCCTTGTAAGAAACCTATAATTGGAGTTCGAATCCCAGATTCGCTGTGATTATGCTTCTAGGTTTGTCAGCATCATCCCAGTGCTAGTTGTTTTCCCACGCCAAGCAGGCAAGTCGTGATGTAACACAATACTGATCCAAGTGACGTTTAACAAACACACCGTCTGTAGTTTAAGAATACACTGTGATTTCCATCTGGCTTGCAACAAATTCTGACGTTTGTGTCCTCACAGTTGCTGGTCTCCCATTGTGGGTGTCGGTGCTGCTTGTAGGAGCTATTGCAACACTCTACACGGCCATTGTGAGTTGATCATACATTGTCATTGATCATTTAAGATTGTTCATTCTGTTATCTTTCATAATACATCAAGACGAGAAAATGAAATACCGTCTTTTGAACTTCCCTATGCCATATTTTCAATCACTTTTGTGTCACAGGGTGGAATACGAGGGGTGGTTGTGGTGGATATGTTTCAGGCCCTTGTCATGGCTGCTGGAGTTTATGCAACTGTCTCTAAGGTAATAAATTTCACTACATTAAATGTACATGTATGTAATCATATTTTTTACGACCAAAAGGGGCACACAAAACGCAACTATTTACATAAGTATTTGATCAATACAGTGTTTATCTAAATGCAACCATACATGTTAAAATATAATCTGTGCTCCACGACTTTGTTCCCACCTCTTGTGTATCCAGATCCAGATATAGTACTAAGTATCAATGTCAGATTAACCTGTGCTGGAAAGAACAAGAGCAAAGCATATCGGCGTTAGCGAATGAGTTCATTGTTGTTGCTGAAAGGACTTCATTGTGACCTGAAACACATGGTTTAGATTGCAGTCCTCGAGTGGTCCTTCGGGATATCTACCAATGTGCAACATGAAGGCAACCTCTAAATAAAAAAATAAAGATTCGTTTTCTAACGTCAATGCATTATTTCGTCATGTGGCACTCACGGTTGCAAAACTGTGAAAGAGACCTTCATCCATGTCCATGAAAGGGTTACTACAGTTACCTCATTAAGAGACTCAGATCATGTTACTGGTTATGCCATTCCAGAATTGTTTGATGATTTCAAGGATTCATTAATATACTTTTCATCAGGAATTTACCTTTCGGGCTCTTTAGAATATGTTTCAGCAGGCATTCGAGACTGATTATTCACTGGCGTTGACGTTTTGGATAAATGTGTTTGTTTCAGGGAGTGTATGACATCGGTGGGATTGGACTAACCTGGGATCTGGCAGTCCAGGGAGGGCGAGTCCCGCCTGTAGAGTAAGATTTCTATATCACATGGACATTCCTCAAAGGAGTTTTGAATCGAACATTGGCTTACAAATCCTATTCGAGTTCATCTGTAAATTGTCTTTTATTCTGCAAGGAAGCAAAGCAAATACCATGAAGGCATTTATGGACATATGTTCTACGTTTTATATCCTTTATTCCTTAAGGTTCAGTGTAGATCCACGTGTACGCCACTCGTTCTGGGCTCTGGTGGTGGGAGGCGGCAGCATGTACATGGGGTATGTCTTCGACCAGTCAGCTATACAGAGAATATGTGCTCTTCCTACTGTCAGGCAGGCCAAACTGTAAGTTATAAACACATTTACTGGATCCGTCATTAGTTTGTGTGATAGTGTTGTTGGTGAATGTATCGGCACATTATCAGTCATGACCATTGTTGACATTCGACAAGTGCACATGGGTAGTTGCAGGGTTTTCTCCAAAGGCAATTCAATTTCAACAAATATGGTGAGCATTTACCAGGTCTGTTCTCATGATATTAAATGACCATTAAAATCTTTACAGATGTCAAAGATAGCTGAAAAAAATTAAATTGGAAAGCTTCACATCACACTAATGCTATATACATGTATCTCCAGTCGGGGTTATTAAGCAGCCCCTTTGATGTGTTTGCTAAAATTTGAACACGGCCGCCGCCACCACAATTACAATTTTCTCAACCACAGGCTCATGACATGTGTTAGAGATTGCATATCTGATATACACCCAACGTACCCCTGAGCTATTTATCGGACATACTATTGGATGACCTCGAAGGGCAAAGTCACGCGGTATGAACAAGGCGTCAAACATGTACAGATAACCTGAGCAATTATGCTTAGAATTTGATGACACTCTGTACTTAGAACACAATTGATATATAAAGTGAATAACTTAAACCCTACAAGTGTATGCTTCTCCATTTACATATGTCCTTGTTTATTGTGATCCCATTGCTAATGCTTACTTGCGACTGCCTTCGTGGCTAAGTGGTAGAGCACCTGCCCGGAGAGCGAAAGGTCGCGTCATACCAAAAGACGTTAAAAGATGGTATCCTTCTTTGCGCTCGGCATTAAGGGTATAAACAAGGACTGGTCGGCTCGAAGTCAGTATACTGTGTCTGAGTGGGGTATTCATGTCCGACCGCCCCTGATGCCTTTAAAGCAGAAGTAAATATAACTTGTGTTTAGGGTACTTACCTTGAGGGCGCATGACAACATACGGGATACACAAGTATAAATATAGATGTTAAAGTGGTCAGCTGTCACCTGATTTGGTAAAATCAAAATGGTTCCTGATGTTTCTGGTGAGAAGGTTAAACACCTTTTTGGTTGAGGTATTGGGTGGACAGAAGGATGTGACAGTGTGGATAGTTGCTCTTTCTACCACTCACTTGGTGTTCCTGCTCCAGTTAATTACTTACAGAGAGTCGTGATTTGGGTGTGATATTGCCCTCTATGCCAATTGCTGCATATAATCAATCACTCACTGTTACAGCACCTACGCCCTCACCACAGTCGTGACAAGCATATCCTTTGTGACCTTAAGTTTCCTTGGACTCGTGGCCTACAGCTACTACACAGTTCGAGGATGTGACCCGTTCAAGGCTGGATACCTCAAGAACAGAAATCAGGTAACACATATATATTAGATAATGCCATTGGTTTGAATAAGATTTGTGAAATGTCTTTATATCACTCACGTCAGTTTATGTGGTTACTCTTGGAAGCACCTTCACATATATTTGTTGATCTAAGCATTAGCCATGATACCAGCGTGTCTGCAACTTCTTGCTGCTGCGCCTTCAGCTTTACCCGCTATGCCAACATGCCTACAGTATTACTGTATATGCCTTCATGTCTACCGATTTACCCTCAATGCCAACATGCCTACAGCATTACTGTATATGTCTTCATGTCTACCGATTTACCCGCTACGCCAACATGCCTACAGTATTACTGTATATGTATTCATGTCTATCGATTTACCCGCTATGCCAACATGCCTACAGCATTACTGTATATATCTTCATGTCTACCGATTTACCCTCAATGCCAACATGCCTACAGCATTACTGTATGTGTCTTCATGTCTACCGATTTACCCTAAATGACAATATGCCTACAGCATTACCGTATGTGTCTTCATGTCTACCGATTTACCCTCTATGCCAACATGTCGGTATTAAAGTTTTTGTAAATATTGGAAAGAAGATATTAGAAAGCATCATTAAGAAGAAAAAATCAATTAAATAATTAAAACAAATCTTAATGTGATCAACCATTTCATTGTTTAGTACAACGTAACCATTCTTTTCAATATCGATTGTATACATTCTTAAAAAAAGAACATTTATGTAAAGGTGCCTGTCTCAAGTGTTCAACTGATCCTTACTTTCGCAGCTCGTCCCCTATTTCGTGATGGAAATATTCCATGGTTTCCCAGGCATGTCTGGTCTTTTCTTAGCAACAATATTCAGTGCAGCACTCAGGTGAATATAATGCTTATTTTGTTCTTTCAGTGAAATTTAATTTCAATCAGTTCTCGTGTCTGGCATGGCCAGGGGAGGTATTTAGATTATTAAAAGATGAAGAGTGGAGGATAAGAGGATGGAGTTAGTGGGTTAGAGAGTTCAACAATTTGTTTTATTCCAGTTGCGAATCTGACATTCAGTAGTGTCATACTATTACCAACAATGCATATCTAAATTCGCCGTTCCATTAATCATCATTTACACGTATGCAATAGATGAGTCATTTGCATTTACTTTTAAATACCACTTTCACTTGTACCCAATCCTTCCCAGGTAATGTAAATAACATATGTTTAAATGAAAACGTATGTATTTCTAAGTTCTGTGTCTTCCGTCATAAACGGCCTCGCCGCCAACACCATCGAGGATCTACTACGACCAGCGTTTGACCGGTACAACACAACCGAGAAAGGAAAAATCTTCATCGCCAAAATATCAGGTATATAAAAGCGACAAAACCCTTTCCATCTTCATAAGAAATATGTACCGAAAGCATAATCAATTATACGATTCCGACAATATCATGAGCATGTGTATATCACTGTCACATACTAGTACTTATGAACCAGTTGTTCGCGACCCTACCCCACCGGTGGCACCCATCACAAACACATGCAAAGGCAAATCAAATGTTCCCTGATCAAACACGAGAACATATGGAACAAGTCAAAACAGAGAATTGCATCGGACACCATTCATTGATGCATCACATTTGGAAATGTCTTTCAAATGTCTACCATAAAGCTGTTTGAAAACTTTACTAAGGCATACATTGAATGTTGTAACCTTGATAACCATGTTACTTAAAGTGGAAAAAGCAAATTGTATAGACATGATATCATGTGGCACTGTTTCCACAACATTGCATAATCAACTAAAAACTACACCTACAACTACAACTACAACCTATTGCCATAACAATAGAGCAATAAACATTAAGATAAGCCTGTATATTACGTTCATATGGTAAACCACCATTTCAGTGTTCTTCTTTGGAGGACTTTGCGTGAGCTTGTCTTTTGTTGCGCGGACTCTGCCAGGAACTGTGGTCCAGGTCAGTGCCATGTCTCTTATATTGACACAATTCCTGCAATAAAGGCTAATGTCAGGTTATTGGTAATCGTGTTTCTTATGCAACATGAACAGCAACATAACTTAACGTTTATGGTTTTAGAGTGATATTTTGAAAATGCCTTTTAAGTTCGTTTTGAAATTTTAAACTGCAACGTACTTAGACAAACAGGTCGATGTTCGCTTAGTTAATGCTGCACTTTGCAGGCCGCAATCGGATTTGTTGGAGCTTGTGCAGGTCCTGTCTTCGGGATTTTCCTCTTAGGAGCTTCAACTCCGTGGGGAAACATAGCGGTAAGTACTGGAGGGACAGCATACTTTTGTGAGGACTGAAGGGAGAATATACTATACGGAGTACTGAAAGGGTAATATACTATTGGGTGTACTAAAAGGATACCATACCATAGTCTCCTATTTAAAACAGATTTCTATAACTTGCCCATAATATATACCAGACCTTGGGAAAACAATCTATAACTGAGGAGTGATAAGTTCTTTGGGGAACTTTGAATCATCCTATCATAAAAAGATCAGGGGATCTTGCAGGCTAGGGTAACACCCATTAACATTGTTCAGAGTCGAATATTGGTGCACAACTCTAGCAACTTGTGGTCTGGCGTTATAGGAGGTCCTCGATTAAAGCATTCAATCATTTCGACATTTTATCATTTCAGAAACCTAATCAGGGCATTCAAAAGCGTTGTTTATCTCTGCTTCTCCGGAAAGTGCAGGAGTGGCAATTGTTAGGGATTGAATATCTGGCCTTATTTTAGGGAACATTCAATGCAATTACTGCTGACGTTCTGTGGTATAGAAAATTAAGTGATACTTGAATCAGACACCTCTGTGGCTTTATATATACGTTCAAACAGTATTTAGCATATTATATTGTCCCGTGAGTATACCCATAGCAAACTGACAAACAATTCATATCCATGTGCATATTGCATTGTCAGCTGTTATGTCTGATGTGTTACATGTGCCCGTCCAAAAGGGGGCTGCGTCTGGCTTGGTGGTGTCTCTGGTGCTGAACGCGTGGATCACTCTCGGCGGCATCATGTACGGACGTAGACCTGTACCACTACCACCAGCACCAGGTAACTTCTGTCACGTTCAGGAAGTGGCCAACATAACAGGCCTGTACCTCCCTGACCCCTTCAACAACAGTACAGGCTACATTGATTTCAGCACAAGGTAAGACGTCCATCTAACAACATCCCTTAATGATAAGACACTCTTTGAGAAATCACTTAACTGTGCTTTTAGTGAAATGATGTTGAGTTTATTTTAGACAAAGGGACGAAATGTTTAATTCCATTTGTCGATGCTTTTATGTCATATCAAATCTTAATTCAATCAATTTCCTTTATCCTCAACATTTGCTATTAATATCAATATATTCTCCAGATATCTTTATCCATGAACATATCTAATTAGTACCAACATATATTTGTATTGACATACTCTTTATGCAGGAACACAATATCATACTAGTATCAATATATTCTCTAAAATCCGCATCCATAAACAATGTATGATATCAGTATTAACATTGTCTCTGGATATATATATATATATCTTTATCCATGAACATAGTATCATATTGGTATATATACTGCATCGTGAGGGGACACGGACGGTCAGGTAAACTAAGGCACTGCAATTAGCTGTGCAGAACTGCGTGCCTTGGGCTCGCCAGAAACCTATGATTGTGGGTTCGAATCCCGGTTTTCCCCGATTATGATTCTAGGTTTGTCAGCACCATACTCATGCACCAAAGTGGTAAACGTCTGAGGCTTGCATCACATCTGGCCTTCCTCCACATTTAGCTGACACTGGACTACAGTTCAAAGGGGCTTCAAACTCATTCACAATCACACTATCGTGATCTTTATTATTAATAATGAATATAATATCATATTAGTATAAACTAGAAGGAACATTCGTGATTATCCAACTGTGTTGTATATAGAGGGATCACTGTGATAGAGGGTAACACGCTTATATGCAACAATGGCGACTGACAAATAGTTTATGCTGTAGTTCACCTATCCCTGTGGCCGGTATTGACTCAGGAGGTAACCCCCTCTACAACATCTCATACATGAACTATGCCCTGACGGGATGGCTGATCGCGTTCTTGGTTGGGTTGGCTGTCAGTCTGGCGACCAGTGAGTTCTTTTCATTAGCATAAATCATATTCAAGTTCTATGTAACTATTCAAAATATGTAACCCACCGGGAAAAAAAGGACCTTATCGGTGCTGGGATACAATTGTGCTATGACGTCAACTGTACGGACTGTACAAACATATTTTACTTTTCTCTCGTTAGTTCGCAATGTAATGAAAACATTATTTCAAAACCTTTCAGCATACATGTCTACTTTCAATTAATCAAACATAATATCTAAAACCTGCAATTATAACATAAACAGTTATAAGTCGGAATATGGGTCCAAACGTCTGATGCCATGTATCTCTGCAATAAATATGAATTGAAGCTTTTGAATAGTATATTTGTGTTCCTAAGATACTGTAGTTTTAAAATATAATAAGAAGTAAAATGTTATTTTAGACTTATCTGATGTTCGGTCACATATGATCAATTAATGGCTATGCTCTGGTCGGATGACTGATTGTGTTCTGTGAGGGGATGATGGTCTGCCCACTGAGTACTCAGTCCTCAGTTCATAAATACACTTTCCGAGTCGATTTCTGTGCTTGTCTGTCTGTTTGTTTGTTTGTTTGTTTGTTTGTTGTTTAACGCTGCACTCAGCAATATTCAAGCTTTATGAAGGCTGTCTGTAAATGATCGAGTCTGGACCACACAATCCAGTGATTGATATCCTGAGCATCGATCCACGCGACTGGGATATGATGACATGCATCAAAAAAGTCTGACCACCAGATCCCGCTAGTCGCCTTTTACGGCAAGCATGGGTTGCTGAAGACCTATTCTAACCGGGATTTTGACGGGTGTGATTTCATTTCATGGACATATGTCATAAAACATCATAACACGGACATGATCCTGGTACCGTTGTACAAAACAACCTTAGCACTACGTCTGTCGTTAGTATAATATGTTAAGGTATGGGAGGTACGATCACCTCAGTTCTAAGATAGCTTTGGACAAGGACACCAGGCTCGATTTCTGTGCATTGACTTTTGCCATAAAACATCATGAAACTGACAATATCCGGGTACAACACCAAAGCCAATTATTTGCATTCATTAAATTTAAGATTTAGATAAACATGTTTTCGCTTTCTTCATCACAGGGATGGGTACTTATCGATTACAGAAAACACAAGATAACCGCACAGCTGTATTTCGCGTAACTATCCTTTTCAAAATTCTGACTGGGAGAATTCTTTAACTCAATAATATATTCCTAAGCGAATATATTTCACGCATGAAACAATAATATATTATGTATCTAGCAACATTTGACCATCTGTATCTGATTTCTTAATGTTTATGGTATCATTTCTTATATCTTATCTGATTCTGGTTGTAATTCATTTACAATCAATTTATTCACCAGTTTCTGGTCAAGTAATTTATAGTTGAGAACATGTAGAATAATATGTATTCTATGTACAATAAATAATGTATTTACTTAAACGATGAAAAACGTGTGAATACTAATGGGTGCACATTACTGTGCCTGGGTTCTTTTTAAAACTATAGAAATTCGAACAAAATAGATATTTCTGTCCGCAAACGACGTTGTCATGTATTATTTATATCAGAGTATAATTATAGTTTAATCTAATCGTCATTTCAAGTCACTCTTTCTTTCAAGGATCTACTTATAACAATGTACGACCGCCTCCGTGGTCTAGTGGTAGAGCGTCCGCCCGGAGAGCGGAAGGTCCGGGGTTCGATCCCCGGCCGCGTCACACCAAAAGACGTTAAAAGATGGTACTTGTTGTTACCCTGTCTGGTGCTCGGCATTAAGGGGCTAAAGCAAGGACAGGTCGGCTCGGAGTCAGTGTACTGTGTCTGAGTGGTGTATTAATGTTAAACTGCGGCATGGTATCTCAGTGGGCTAGCACTATAAATCGGCATCAGTCCGGACTAGTACGTCAAATGCGTCAAATGAAACTCATCTGATTATGTTGTCAGAACACTGGCATGAGCCAACGAGGGATGAGAGGCTCCTTCTGCCCTTTGTGAGGCGATTCTGGAGACTGAACCAGGCAGATGAACTACAGCAGGTGAGGAATCGTAACAGTGACATACACAACGTTCGTAGCGCTTGTGATGATGTAAATAAACCCACTTAGCCTTACTATGATGCGTATGTAGAATCCATGCGTGGAATTAAGCCTTGTGTTTGAACTTCATGATGTGGTATTGGAGGAGAGTCAAGAAGGTCTTACTACTTTCATGAACTATCAACAGCATGCGGAAAATAACAGAAAAAAACCCTCAAACATTGCATCTGTGCCGATAGATTTCATAGCAAAATGCTTCAACATGTAAATGTTCGATTAATCATCTGTCTAAATACATATATGACGCTATTAAACTTAAATGTCGCTCCATACGTAAAGTTTATTAGGTTATATGTATATTATCTAAAAAAGGCAAATATCATGTCTTTGTATGTCTATGGGCCTGTGGCCTTAGAACTTTTGAATAAAATCATCATTATTCTGTCAATATGTACTACGCCACCCTCGGCCCCTGTTCTGGATGAGAAAATGTGTTGACAATATATCATCAATGTGTAGTTTAAAAGTATTACTATTCATTTGACATCAGGCATATGTACATGGAGAAGCAGTGTGAAACATGAACATATGGCACAAAACGGAAGCGATGCAGTCCGAAGACCCAGTCAGTTGTTAGGGAAATATGTGAGCTTGTCCAGTCAAACAATAAGTCTATTCATTCGTCAAGGATGAGGGTACTATAAATAATATACACACCATTTCTATTTCATTATATTATTGTCTTGCCTTCAGCATGTGTGCAGACAACATACTGAAATATTTAAGACACATCCATTGTTTCAGGCGGTGAAACTGAGGCATTCTGGGGAGCATTCTGTGGAAGGACCACAAACTCAAAAGCGGTTGATCAGTTTTGGAAATCAAACTTCTGATATGATATGATCTGCATTCATAAAAATATGACTTTACTGTCAGGAATTGTAGGCGTTTATATTACCATCCTCCCTCACTATACTATGTTCGAAGTGTAATTCAAATTGATAATACGGTTTCATACAAAAAGATGAATATATACGTTTAACATCTTTGATGATTCGCTTAGAGGATGCTTATTTTGAGCAATGAAAATTATGGAATGTGTGTGTCACAAAGAGTTTTATTGACGGAGTTGGAACTTCGTGGTTGCTTCATAACACTTCACTGGGTGTCCTTCACGCAAGGATCCCAAGGTGCATACGATATCCATTAGAGTATATTATGTTATGTAAGAGTAAATATAACTAAAAGAGACCAAACCCTTTCAGTTATCATTGGACACCTCTGCTTACGGCAGACTCTATTGTACGATTCCGACTACATCATAACCTCGTGTTTATGGATCATTATCAACTGGTGTATGTACCAGGATACATACAAATATAACCTCTAAGGCATTACGGTGTTATTTCCGTGTTTGGTTTGAATTATTTTTTGTCATCCTTATCAATGACACCCTGGCCACTCGTACTCTTCCGTAAAGCTAGTCACGGAAAGAGGCGAGTTGTTACGAAGTGCAAGTAGTGAAAACGTGAGACTGTGAACGGAACAAACCTATTGAATGTCTTAAATTTATCACTAGAGCTTACTGTTTGGTACCTGTTCTTATTCACTTCACCCTCACTTTCTATTGGCCTTGACCGAAGATTAACATTATTTCAATTTCCTGCGGCTGTTAGTACTAAAAGATCTTTACAAAATGTAATGCATTGTACATCTAATAAGTTCAAAAATAACATAATAATGGGCTGAATGATTTGGCACTTCGCATGGTTGACACTCAAATCTGTACCGTCCAGCAGTACAGAACCATCAACAAAATCAACACTGACATTGAGATTATGTCCCACATCCTTGGCTCGTTTACGAAAACTGAAGTCTTGACATGCTTCACAAGAGAATCATGAGACAAATAAATGTGTGCAAAAGTGCACAAAACAGTTCTATCATGAAGAGCTCCAACGTTATTCAAACCATGTCCTCTCATAATGATTGGTAAATATAAGCGATTGAGGGAATAGCGAGGGTGGTGGGATCTATTGTCTGACATGATTCTTCGCGTGAGGTGTCAATATCCTGCATTTCTTGTTTTGTCCAATCAGCAACACCAAACGAATATGAAATGACGGGTACAGCATAAGTTATTGTGGCTTTAACTTTATTGCGAGCGTACAGCTCTGAACTTCAGATTTGTACTCTGTCCGAAGTTCTACTTCTTCTTCTTCTTCTTCTTCTAGATTTTTAAATGTTTTGCCGTTTTCCCTTTACATTCACGTTGCAGGCCACGCTCAGGGTTTGGTGTTTACCATACCCTTTCTGTTTCATTTCTAAAACGATATCTCAGTCCTTGCACGGACGTCACAATATATCTAATACACAGTGTGCTTTCCTTAAATATTCATATCAGAAAACATTTCCATAATCATAAGCATTTCCATTTTCATAAGCAATGTTCAAAAGGAATGAAATGTGTTTGTCGCTTTCATTAATAAACCGTTAAATACATGACAAATAATTGCACTGAATAACTTACACGAAAACAATGCAAACAGTTGGTTAACGTTACGTGACGATTCTTTCAACCAAACGGGTGACAACGTTTGTTATATATCATTAAGCTACAAAGATGAAAAAGATACTTTTCACAGCCATTTCAGCGGTGTTAATGAGCGAACTATATGGGTGGCTCTTTCAACAAGAACACAAACCTTGGACGATTCGAGTATTTTTGTTCTTGCTTTATGCTACCAACTGAGCATAATCAGTGATCACCGTGTCACTTCTTAACCCTCATGGTGCCTGGACGTCAGTCAGCCTGCATACCGCTCAGTGCCGCACTGTGATGACGTCGCGGTTTCAAAAACAGATACATTGTATCAAAAGTGTTACAAGGTTCTTATTTCTTCACACAGTGTAACCAAATTGTATAACATGCAACTGGAGTTGATTGTCGTTCCATCAGTATCTAAACTCACCAAATCCAAAAGATCTATGCAATGCCTAGCCATCGATAAGAGTGCTGGTATTGTAAGTTTCCTACTTTTCTGCATTGATCCTAATATGGAAGCACCCGAATATGGCAAGTAAAGTCAAGTAAGCGCCCTTGCGTGAAATCCAAATGTCCATTAATTCATATCATTGGCAAGTACATATCCTAACGGTGACAGACACATGACATTTATGTCGAAGTACACATTAATTGAGAATTTTCCGTGGGTTATATTTGCCGATAAAAAATCCCGACGAAATTGTCCGTGTTTTGGACGTCAAAACAAAATTGACGGAAGTGGTCGTGATTGGTTCATACGCAGACTGTTTCAAATATTATTACAGCATTGCTACGTTGTGCAATCACACATACCGCTTATTCATACTTCGGGTGTTATGATGTGTTGTTAATGGTTTAAACCTAACTGATAAAAAACTTGAAACGAGATGTAATTGGACAATTTTAACACTTCAAGAAGCGTTGAGTGTATATTTAATACGGATATAACGAACTGTTGTTTTTTTTTGTCCAGGCAATTTGCTGTATATATACTTATAACGAACAACGGTTATAACGAACTAAAATAATGGTCCCTTTGAGTTCGTTATAACTGTAGTTTACTGTACAAGGAACACAGGTGAAAGAAGGCAATATTTTTGTTTTTACGGCACAATTAGGAGTACTGTCTGGATTAAGTAAGAGAGACAATTACAAATATATGAATTACTTCGAAAGAAGTGTTCAATGTGTATTCAGCGATAGAAATTGGCACTAGTCCTGTAGTCCTTGCCAAACTGCTCAATAGTTAAGATATCATATGGACTAGTAGAAATTTGCCATTTTTAATGGATTTGCCATATGTTATCATCAAAGGACTAGTAGACTAAAACTGTTAGTTTCTACCGCTGCTATATACAGTTCGTGTTCTCAAAACTCAATTTGCTTCACTATGACCACTAGAAAACATACATCCTTGTCTCAGCTTGTATTTCGCACTTGGCTTCCCACCTTAGACCTTGAATATACTTGTATGGCCACTTGATGAAATGCGACTTTTTCTTCATATTGTTTTATAAATACGACGTTAGAAGTGTATCTACACCGAGGTATGCGCATGTACATTCAAGGACATATGTGATAGTTTATTTCTAGTACAGATTCCCATTCTACAAAGGGAAAAGTTTGAAATAGATAATGATTGTAGGTAAATGAAAGTAATGCAATTATTTGTCATGAAAGGAAAAATATATTCTTGGTATCGAACTTCGAAAATAAAACTAGCAAAATTTTTAATATAAATGGTTTTCAGTTATAATGTCTTTCCTTTTTTCTTTTGGCCGAGCTTAACTGCAGCTACAATTTAAAATTGTGAAAAGAGAACCACAAGAATGCATTCATTTTGCTCTTAGACAAGATGTTTTTTTACAAATTCTATTTCTTACTAAGGATACAAAACAAAGTAATCATTACTATTACGTATGTCACTGATCGAAGTGTTTGATAATTTAGATAATGCACAGTGAAAACCCCATAATAAAATCTTTTAAAACATCAAAAATATAAAAAATCACATTTACACTGAAAACTTTTTGTCTTTCAGAAATCGATTATCTATATGTATTGTGTGTGGATCTAATTACTGTTATAAATTGAACACTGCGAGATTCTAACATATATGGCTTAAATATTAGAAAGGTTGTATATTGCAACATACCAAAATCAGAAACGTGCGCCAAAATTCTGACAGTGTTAGTCAAGTGATAAAGCCCTCATTCACTCGTCAGTCGCCGTGGAAATCTTCCCAAACGTGATTTTTCTTGTTCAGTCAAAGAGACTATTATTATTTGGAAACTGAAAACACGTGTATCGATCAGACAACCACAACATTAGATCAGCTGTTTGACATGATTTTCAAATTGGATGTTTGATTTTATAATAGTTACGTGTATATGGCAAAGGTGCATGATAACAAAATCACCGTCATTCGCATGAAATTAAACATGGCAGAAAAAGGTCGAGAAGAGCGGTAACCACTTTACTAATCTCACTATATATCGCAATCCGTAGCACTATATAAAATATGAGTTACATGATGTTAATGCTAAGATGATTAGGGTGATGATGGTTATAATTTTGATTGTGCGCACTCAGTGTTTGACATCTTAATTCACAGTTGAAAAGGGACATTTTCGCGGGATCATATATGGTCCCGTGACAGTAAGAGGGTGTGAAAAGCGAGGGACAATATGTGGTCCCGCGGCACCAAGAGGGTTAAATACACAATTGGTGGAATTCTGGAATTAAGTGGAAATACTGAAGGCGCATATCTTAATCCACTTTCTGATATAGGTACACTCACGCATGGAAATTCTTTCATAAATATGTAGTTAAACGTTTTTCAAAATAATAATTACTTAAACTATACGTTTACACAGCCATGTTGACACGTTATTTCCTTATATTCATGTATGCCTCTATAGTACAGTGGGTTTGCCCGAAGTTTATTAAGAGCGCTTAGAAACAGTTATCTACTCTGTTTATTTAAATGAAATAGTATTGCATTATCATGATGTGAAAGGCATATGCGCGATTACATACCGGGGCATATCTCATTACCCACTGGATACGTTCTGTTTAAAGACTATAAAATCTACAAACATTGTTTTTTCCAAAGCCTCGTCAAGCCAGATATAAACAACAAACACACAACGTGGCTTCCCCGCACTCGCCGAGGTATTTACTCTGCTTTGAAATCTTCTTTACAAATCCAATCGCGTAACTAGCCTTGATCCATATAATTTCAGAACCACGCCAGTCCCCGACACTGAATAACTAAGTATATCTTACTGTAAGGTACATGTATGTACCAGGGACCATCCATGCTTTGTGGTTCAATAGAAAATAAGCATAGTGAGTGAGTGAGTATGGCTCTACGCCGCTGTTAGCAATATTCAAGCAATATCACGGTTGAGGACACCAGAAATGGGCTTCACACATTGTACCAATGTCGGGAAACGAACCCGGGTCTTCGGCGTGACGAGCGAACGCTTTAACCCACTAGGCTACCCGACCGCCCCGAAAATGAGCATTACCATAATGCACAGGACATACACATAAAACAGACTGCAATGTAACGGCGACACAACAGGAGAGATTAACCACCCGGGCTTTAC